GACGGGCTAGAACCTCTTCAATCAAGGGTAGAGCATCATCCTCCTGGCCCAAGTCTTTTAGGGGTGGTTTTGAGCGCTCAGACTTCCAGGATGATCTGCCAGAAGGATATTTGAATTTAGTGCAAGACACTTGAGGAGGAAAAGGGGATGAAGGGAAGGAGATCTCAGGATGGCTTGAGATCCTGGAGTCCAGCACTTAGAGCTTGAGGTAAGAAACTTGACTTTCATTTTCGCTTTATTATTATTTGAACAAATCACTACCTTTACCTGAAATTTTTTTTCTTTTTTTTTTTTGAGACGGAGTCTCGCTCTGGCCGGATCTCAGCTCACTGCAAGCTCTACCTCCCGGGTTTACGCCATTCTCCTGCCTCAGCCTCCCGAGTAGCTGGAACTACAGGCGCCCGTCACCTCGCCCGGCTAGTTTTTTGTATATTTTAGTAGAGACGGGGTTTCACCGTGTTAGCCAGGATGGTCTCGATCTCCTGACCTCATGATCTGCCCATCTTGGCCTCCCAAAGTGCTGGGATTACGGGCTTGAGCCACCGCGCCCGGCCACCTTTACCTGAAATTTAATTTTATTTGTAAAATTCAACTTTTATTATTTCTCTTAGGAATATGCACAAATGATATAGGAATCCATAAAATATACAAGGGCTAATAAAATTGCTTAGCTGGTTCTAAATTACTGCTTCATGACTAGAAAAGTATGGCACAACCTTGTGATGCCAATAATCCAACTACAATAATAAATATTTAAATGGAGTTTTAAATTTTCCTGCTTCCCTTTTTTACCTCAGTAGTCTAATATTTTCTCCCTTATGGTAAGCTATTAGTGTAGGTAAAGCAGTTGTTATGCCCCCATTGAACAGATGAGGAGACTGAAGAAAAAGCCTTCTGTCATCTTTCTTTAGGAATAATCCTCATGTACAAAATAAGCAAAAATGAAAACTATGAACCCATAGTTCATACCTCAGTGAAAACTGTACTCGCTACATCTGTTCCTTGATAGAGGCACCAAGAGCTGATATACCTTGAGGTAATGGGGAAAGCTTACAGACATCTAAAAGAAACTTTTCTGAGTCTGGAGTTCTGTTTCAAATCTCTGCACATCTCTCTGTTGCTCCAACTAAGGCTCCATAATGGGACCACATCTACTGAAGTTTAGTTCTTCCATAGTGCTGGCGCTACCCTGGGCTATTCTGCAGAGAATACCCAGTCCTAGAAGTGGAGCTGAGTGGGTAGTTGTTTGTTTTCTTGCTCCATTCAAGCTCTTGGTCAATCCCTTAGGATCCTCATATCCCCCCATAGGACTTACCGTCCTCCATTCCTCTTGTAGTTGTCTGGGACGTAATGAGGCTGCAGATAAGAAAAGGAAGAGGTAAGCATATTGTAGAAGCTGGGAAAGCTAGCTGTCCTCTGGGGCCACTCAGGATGAGGAACATAGTAGGGCAGTAGACAACTTGGGTGACTTTGTTTTAAGATGAGAAATCTAGTACTTCTATTAATATGCAGGCCACAATGATTATCAGCATTTTGTGCTCCCAGGATGTCAATGGGAGGGATAAGTGCACGATTTTCTCTACTCCATTTCACCTTTTAAATACAGTCATATGTTACTTAATAATGGGGATATGTTCTGAGAAGTATGTCGTCAGGTGATTTGATTGTTATGTAAACATCATAAAGTGTCCTTACACAAATCTAGATAGTATAGCCTACTATACACCTAAGCTATTTAGTATAGCCTATTGCTCCTAGGCTACGAGCCTATATATACAGCACAGTACTATACTGAATACTATAGGTAGTTGTAATACAATGTTAAGTATTGTGTACCTAAACCCAGAAAAGGTAATACATTGCAGTATGTTACGACAGCTATGACATCACTAGATGACAGGACAGAATTCTTCAGCTCCATTATAATCTTATGGGATCACCGTTGCATACGCAGTCCAATGTTGACTGAAGCATGTTACACATGACTGTAGTTAAGGTTGGGGTTTCAAAGCTAATCAGTAAGCTATTGATTGAGCAAGCAAGACCAAATAAGTCTTGATGTGAGGAAAGACCTGGTGGTGGGCAGAGAATGCAAAAGACGGTTTGGAAAATTAAAAAAAAAAAAAAAATAGGGAAAACAGGAATGTATTGCTTTGTTTTCTGGTTATTTCTTTTTCTTTCCTTTTTTCTTTTTTTTTTTTTGAGATGGAGTCTTGCCCTGTCGCCAGGCTGGAGTGCAGTGGCGTAATCTTGGCTCACTGCAATCTCTGCCTCTGGGTTCAAGCAACTCTTCTGCCTCAGTCTCCCGAGTAACTGGGATTACAGGCGTGCACCACCATGCCTGGCTAATTTTTGTATTTTTAGTAGAGATGAGGTTTCACCATGTCAGCCAGGCCGGTCTCAATCTCCTGACTTTGTGATCCACCTGCCTTGGCCTCCCAAAGTTCTGGGATTACAGGCATGAGCCACCGTGCCCGGCTCTGGTTACATTATTTCTAGGGATTCCAGGGTGACAGCTATGAATTTTGACAGGCCCACTAAAAGAAGACTCAAAATGAGGAGCTCAGCCAGGGTTTTAATAAAGCAAACAGATGAATGGATGATCAAAATCTTTATGGAATGATGAATGACAAAACATATAACTGGCACACGGTTCTCAACAATTTGAAAGAAAAAATATACAGGAAAAAGTCTGAAAATGAAAATGTTAAAAATGGTTATTTTCTGGATAGTGGAGTATATACATAACTTTTTTCCTCTTAATGCCATAATTTTTTTTTTTTTTTTTTTTTTTTTTTGAGACAAGGTCTCTGTCACTCAGACTGGAGTGCAGTGGCACAATCGGCTTACTGTAACCTCAAACTCCTGGGCTCAAGTGATCCTCCTGCCTTGGCCTCCCAAAGTGCTGATATTACACACGAGTAACCATGATGTTTACACAATAAACATCACTACCACAAATTTTATTTGTTTTGTTATTGTTTTGAGATGGAGTCTCGCTCTGTCACCCAAGTTGGAGTGCAACGGCGTGATCTCTGCTCATTGCAACCTCCGCCTTCCAGGTTCAAGCGATTCTCCTGCCTCAGACTCCTGAATAGCTGGGATTACAGGCGCACGCCACCACACCTGGCTAATTTTTGTATTTTTAGTAGAGACAGGGTTTCATCATGTTCACAAATTTTACATAATGATCATGTCTTCCATTTTTAATGTGGGCATAAAAAGAAAAAGCCCTGAATTATTTTCTGTGAAGGTTCTTCTTTTATAGGTGTGTTCTCAATGAGAGGAAAAAAAGGCGTTTTTCAGGGTTCTTATTTCTTAAAATTATGGGTGTGAAAGACAAAACAAAACAAAAACCTACAGATGTGGGACTCGACAGCAAAGATTAAACAGACGAAAGAGAAAAGAGGAAAGGTATAACACTATAATCAACAATTTTCTGAGATACAGTCTATGTGAGGAAATGTACTTATGCTGTTCAAATGTCCCAAATAGAGACAGAGATTTTCAGAGCTTGGGATGGAATTTGGATGAAGAAGCAGAGAGCTACATGAAGATTCTCGCTTAGTGAATTTCATGCATGAACCAGATTGTCCTAACATGTAGTGTTAAGAAAGGAAGGAGACTCACCGAGAAATCTTTTTTGGGAGTGAGCTTCTTGGGGAAGTGATCAAAAGCATAGGGTTTGGTGCAGACAGGATAGCGGTTCCGGTGGATCTTGTAAAACAGGTGTGCTGACTTGTCAAGCCGATAATCACAGATGTACACATCTTGCTCCTTCACTCCTTTGGGTCTCCCTATGGGTCCAACCAGTGTTAAGAAATCCTATTTCCCCATTTCTCCCCCTGAGCTGCCCAAAGACCCCATACACACCAATGGGAGAGCAGCTAGATCCTTAAAACCCTACATGGTAGCTAAAGAGGTAGGACAACTAAGCATTTGGTAGTTGTTGGACAAAGAGTTCTCAGACACTAGTGTCAACAGAAGATAAAGTAAATATATAGCAGAATGGATGGAAATAAACCAAAAATGTAAACTGAGTACTGCAGGGATGTGTGAGGGAGTATTTTGAGGGAAAAACAGAGCAGGTTATGGGGGAGTTACAAGAAAAGAATAGAGGTATAAATTTGAGGGAAGCACATTTGTAAATGAACGCTTTTTAACTGAGACAAGGAGGACTCATCAGCATCACAGAACTGCAAGCAGTCTGTCAATTTTGGAATGGAATACATATTCTTTTAGACTATTTTGCTATGATTCTGAGAGAATAGTCTAGGCAACTGAACTCTGCTAATAATGACAAATAACATATATTGAGCTTTTACTCTAAACCATAAACTAGGCTGAGTGCTTTTGTAGATTATTTTATATAATCTTTTAAGAACTCTTTAAAATAGATAATAATCCTTATTTTCAATGGGAAATTGATACTTAGATTAAGTAAATTCCCCAAGGGAACATAGATAAAATGTGGTGGAGCTGGAATTTGAAATTAGAACACAGTATTAAGAAAATTAACTAAATTTAATAAAAAAGAATAAACGTTTATTGAGTACAAAGCACCAGGTAAAAGAAAGGAAAAATATAGTATAGCTCTCTGAAGTTTCATAGCTAACCTTGGAGAATCTTTCATCATATACAGACAACAAGAATGGGGTGGGCAATGAACAGGAGACATGAGGTCATTGAGGTCATTTTTTTTTTTTTTTTAAGGCAGGGTCTCATTCTGTTGCACAGGTTGGAGTGCAGTGGTGCGAACCTGGCTCACTGCAACCTCTGCCTCCCAGGCTTAGCAATTCTCACAGAAGCTGGGACTACAGGCCCACAGTGCCATGCCTGGCTATAGAGGCAGAGTTTTGCCATGTTGGCCAGGCTGGTCTCAAACTCCTGGGTTTAAGCAATCTGCCTGCCTCAGCCTCCCACACTGCTGGGATTACTGGCGTGAGCCACTGTACTTGGCCGAGGTCATTTTTTTTTTTTTTTAAAAGATTTTTTTTTAAATTTCTACTGGGGAGGGAGGAGGATAAATAGAACTGTTTTCCAATTTGCTCTCCACTGTATACACACATACCCACACACATACATAAACATACATACACCAAAAATACCCCAAACAAAAACCAAAAAAACCAGGAATCAAAAAAACAAAACACCCTCAAACTGCACCAATACTTCATATTTTGACCAAAAAAATATCCTGGGAGGAAGTGCAAAATGCAAAATCAAATGACCGAAAAATGCTGAACAAACAGCATTATTCATATACAAAATATTTATATTACTGAACTAGTAACAGGTGATGTTCTCTGTGTCTGTAAAACTTTGGAACCACATAGCTGATTTGTTAAATCTAGTCCATGCCACCTTCCAAAAACCAAACTTTTAGTTAGCTTCATTCTTTGATGCCTCATCAAAATTTTCTACAAGATCTGGAACATCATCATCCTCCTCATCAATGTCTTCTGGTTTTGGTGCTTTACTGTCCAAGACTTGCCGTGGGAACTGTTCAGCTAACTTCCTAAGGCTTGTTAAACTGTCAGCACCAAGCTGACTTAATATTCCAGGAAGCATTTCTGTGATTGGTTTGGCTTCTGCATGACCAGTAATTGCAAAGGTGTTAGCAGAAAGGGAAGCTTGGACTTTGGGATTGTTGAAATGAATAACTGTCCCATCATCTTTAATCATGTTCACCTCTTCAATACCAGCTATGTTATTCACAGCCAGTTTTTTTAGAGAACTCTGAAGCTTTTTGTCATCAGCTGTAGCTGTTCTGTGTACCACCTTCTTCTTTCTGCGAGCTGTACCCTTGCCCCCTATCCGGACCTGAGCCTGAAGTTTGGCTAACTTTTCTTGATTCATGCTGTTGGTAAATCTGAAGCAGGGAGGGTCCTCCAACACCAGCACGTGGCAACAGCAAGATGGCTGCCTCCCCGAGGTCATTTTTTAACTAGCCCAGATCACTTACCTTTACAATACGTATAAAGGTCCAACACACAGCAGGTCCCCACTACAGCCTCCAAAGGAATGATCTCATACAGTGGCACCCGAAATAGTTCATTATGATAGAACCGACGGGATGGAGAGTGGTGTGTTTCGTGGGGACGGAAATAATGATGACCAAAGGCAAACCGTTCCTCTCTAAAAAAGGAAAAGTGAGAAGGGAGAGGTTTAACTGATTAGCAAGATCCTAGTGAACATTCAGCTCCGCTGGTACAGCATGGCTGGAAGAAAAGGACAGGACCTCAGCACATACTTTTCATTCTTCCAAAGTTTCTCAATGCGAAAGATGTCAAGTTTATCTCGGTTAATGTGAGATAACAGTCGATAGGACTGACGGACTGGGTGGCCATCAGGGGTGCGCCGACTATCCCTCATCAGATACACACAGTCACCTAGGAAGACCCAGAACACAGAAGAAACATAAAATGATTCTTGTATGAATTCTGTTAGGCATCTGTTTATTTGACTCAGGATCTACATAGAACTCATAATCGGAAACAGTATAAATGCAGAGAGCTAAAAGCAGCAGTGTTAAGTGATGATAATCAATTCTAGACTACGACAATAATATAAGGTAGGCATTCTATTTCTTGAGCTTCCTATGTGTTTTTCGAGTCTTAAAATTAGCTTTATAACATGTCTATCATTTCAAATTAGTATTATTTGATGGAGAGGTGATGCATGTAAGCACAAGGACTGCAGATATAAAAACTTACATTTTATTGCTATTCAAGGCTGTATGGAGACAATAACTATGAAGGAGACAGCAGAGACTTCCTACTATACAGAAAGGTCACCTCTGACAAGTAGGGTTAGCTCCTGTAATACATACCCTGACGAAGCAGCAAGTCATCTCGGAGCAAACAGATGAAGTAGACACAGCCAGGTTGGGCATAGTGGGGCCGAGGGATCATGGGAACCTCCTGATAGGAGCAGAAAGCCAATGTATAAGGGCTGGAATTACTACATTCAGCCTACTTATTTCTCTTCAGGAGAGAAAAAGAACTAAAACCTAGAATTCTCAATCAATCAAAACTTACTGTTTAGTCATTTCAATATATCACAGATATACAAAAAAGATGAAAGCAACTACAGTTGTTAAACCTGGAAAAGCGAAGGTAGAGGACAAAAGTGATAGGCTAAGTATCTCAATCTATGTTTTATGAAGCACTAATTGTATAGTTGCTCTATGTAATCTAGGGGCCATATGAAAATGTGTTAAGGGAGACTAATTATTACAATGATTGGGTAATACTACTGGTATTTAATGCCCAGGGTCCAAGGAAGCCAAACATTCTGAAATGCATCCATCACAATAAGAACTATGCACCTAAACATGACAACAGCAACACTGTTAAGAAATACTGCCTAAATCTCTTTTTAAAAATTGACTTGCCAAAAATCACACATATAAAGATAGCAGAGCCAAGCCAAGAACCCACTTAATGACTTAGGCAAGCCACCCACCCTCTCTCCTATGAAGTGAGCCTAACACTAACGTTTGCTGATTCTGAGTCCAGTGCTCTTCTCACTTAAACCACTGTCTAACATAAATGATGTTAAGAATACCAAGTTCTGGATTCTATAAGCTATTCCTTTCATGGACATCTGATAGTGTTTATAAAAACCTCAGTTTTGTTTCTGTTTTTTTTTTTGAAAC